GTGTGTGTGTGTGTGTGTGTGTGTGTGTGTGTGTGTGTGTGTGTGTGTGTGTGTGTGTATGTGTGCGTTTGAGTTCGTGCGCGCGTGCGTCTGTGCGTGCGGGCGTGTGTGCGTACGTGCGTGCGTGCGTGCAAGCGTGCGTGAGTGAGTGGATGCATACGCACTTGCGTATGTATACATTTATTTGTTTGTTATTTAATTTTTAATTATTTATTTATTCATTCATTTATTTACGCTTCCACAGTACCTCGATTTGTCAAATAATGCCATCGAGTATATTGCACCGGGAACATTCAAAGATACAGATGAACTCTTAATGCTAGACCTCGCCTCCAACCATCTGTACACGGTCTCAGCAGGAACCTATGCCGGCCTCAAGAAGATTAGCACGATACAACTTGAATACAACCGGATTTCGAGCATTGCTGCTGGAGCCTTTGAGGGCGCAGCGACAGCATATAGGGTTAACATATATAACAACAACCTCGTCACCATCGCAGCTGACACATTCAGAGGACTGAGTAGCGTGGGGGTACGTTCAGACACTCGTAGTCGAGTCAGTGATACGTGGTATTGTAAGAGCGTTAACACAGCCGAAAAGCATTATTGAATCTTTGTAGATGCTTATTATCAAGAGCGTATAAAGAAGCCCTTCTTTAAGAAAGAATGCCTTTTTTTATAAAGAAGATCTTCTTTATACGCTCTTTTTATTATTCGAGTTACTGTCGTGGTTGTGTGTCGAAGATAGTCTAGTAACGTCACCACATCGACTTAGTCATTAATCTTATCTATTCCATATTGTTTGCATGTGTATTATATTGCACCATTCTGTCGATCAAATCATTGTTAATTTTTTATTACATTTTCACATCAGAATATTGTGATTGCTAATAATGCGATAAGCTTCATCGAACCTGGCGGTTTCCATGGGTTGCCAATGATCACGTTTATCGGTTTGTGGAACAACGAGCGCTTGACATCTATCGACAAGGACGTGTTTAATCTGACTGAACTCACATCCCCATATGGAGTATTCGTTGACCTCTACGGCAAGTGTGGTCGTTCTTTGTTATTAACATTCTGTTTATTTATTAAATGTGGTTTGTTTTGTCACACTTCGTGTATTAATTGTACCTTTATACGCGTGCACGTATCGTCACGTACGCAACAATCGTCCGCAGCGAATGATTACGTGGGTAGAACTACCTGTAAAGCTGCATGCTATGTGCATTCTGCGAGCTTGAAAAGTTCACACTTACACTGTAATTTGCATTACAGGTTGCAAATTGGATTGCCAATGTGACATTGACTGGCTTAACGAGGCTCCATTTACTACTTCGAATGCCTATTGCGCAACTCCACCGGAACTGTCCACAATCGAACTGCCGTCTTTAAAATGCGTGAATGGTCTGATGGTTCCTATATAGGTTACCGAAAGAGTTGACGGATGTATTTGATTATGTGTAAATGCACAGAACATAAATTTAAAAAATTGCGGCGAGCAATATACAAAGTGAAGGTATTATATGCAGTTGTAGATTTATGCTTCGGGACTTAATTTGAAAAGGAAAAAAAGAAAATATGCGTGCTGGTTATATATGCGTCGCGGTTAAGACGCCCTGCATAAGTAAGAGGATGGTGAGCATGTAAGTTAGGCAAACAATTAATTACCCCCGTCCGCGACGTTTTATCATTGCTATATGACTATACAGCTTCTTTTTAAACGTTGTTAAACCATAGATATAGAATGAATCTTCATTATATATCTATGGTTAAACTAATGATGGAATCGAGAAATGATAAACTGCCGAAAGGTCTACTGTCTCCCTCTATTTGCGAGAGACGTTTGTTTGCCCGTACTTAGTATCACATCTAAAACAAAAAGCGGATTTTTTTACAGCGGAACTTATGTTTTCACAAATACTGACTATCAAAATTAAACATGTAAAATATTGGCAAATTTATCTGCGAATAAATTCCTGTTGTTCGAAGTTTTTCGCCTGCAGTTGGGATCCTGATAAAAACTTTAAGTTGGTGAATTCTTATATATTCCTTTAAATATTCTTGAAATTTCTGCCTGGGTCATATCTGACGTAAAATATTTAAAGGTCTATATCTGTAGAAATCTAGAAATATAATATTCTATAGCTATAAAAAAAATCAAGATAGTACTAGTAGTAGTAGTAGAGGCTAGCCGCTAAACTCACATTCACAGGCACTTGGGAGCGTTTCAATAAAATAGAATGCTAAATAAATACGAAATCTATTTACATACTACCAAAGTTTTGCACTGTTTCTCTACTCTCTTTCACCTATTATTGCCGGCAATTTCCTGTAAATTCCGTCCAAATGCTCATCTGCAACCATGTCTGCAACACACGCTGGCTGCCGCACGCTAGCGGCTAAGCCTAGCTGCTGCACACTTTTCAATTTTTTTTCAATTTAAAAATGTTTATTCACGCATTACAATATACATACATAATATAACTGGTTATATTACTTTCAGAATTGCGTAGTAGTGCGAATGTCCTGTGAAGTCGACAGCGTAAAGGTGGCAGCGTTGAAGCAGAGATAGAGTAGTAGACGTAGACGTAGTCACAGAATCGTTGTTTCACATAAACTTTTATTAGTAACTACACATAGAAAATATATACATACGGCAACCTAGGTGGGTGACCGTGCCTATAGGTCCCGTCGTTTCCGTTTTCGTCTATCTCTCTACATCGTCGTATCTCTTCTGGGTAATTAACTCTTCCTGGTCCTTCGTAACTCCGGGTCTCAATGAAACGAAACTACAAGCATACGTTTACACAGTATATCAACAGAAACGTGCGAAGCACGTAATATTACGTGGTACGCAGCCAAGTGGTTAACGAGTGGCACGACCTACCAGCCCAATGAGATCTATCTATATTTTTAACTTTGGAGTCCGTACAAAATGTGTGTGTGTGTGTGTGTGTGTGTGTGTGTGTGTGTGTGTGTGTGTGTGTGTGTGCTCGCGCGCGCGTGCGTGTGTGTGTATTTCACTGTGTACTTGCCAAACAAATGGTAACGTGTAACGTGTAACGGTGTGTTACGTGTAAGCATGATTGTACATGTATTTGTATTGAGATCTCAACCATAAAAAAACAAACATGTGCAACAACTAAACTCTCCATATAACACCTTACACATAACACTACTGGTAACACATGCATGCATCACAGTCACTAAGCCCGCGCCTAGCGCGGGTTCCAGCTAGTGTATATTATATAACTCACCCAGTACAACGAGTAGAGTGCATAGAGTGATGAGAAGGAGAGTTGGCTGCTTCATCGTTGGAATGTAGATGATATCTCACCAGATGCAAGTCAGTCTATCAGATATCCACGTATATAGACGCAGCTAGATGTAACCGACTACGTATGTACGTGCGTGCGTGCGTGCGTGCGTACGTGCGTGCGTGCGTGTCGTGGAATCACCTGGTTGTATGTATGATCTGGATTTCACATCGTTATATATATATATATATGTGTGTGTGTGTAATTATGTGTAACGCAGAGTCACGTGGTTGTATTGTCGTGTGTGTGTCTGGGGGAGGGGATGCGTTGTGTGTGTGCACGTGCGTGCGTGCGTGCGTGTGTGTGTGGGTGTGTGTTTGTACGTGCGTACGTGTGTGCGTGCGTGTGTGGGTGTGTATGTGTGTGTGTACGTGCGTACGTGTGCGTGGTGTGTGTATGTGTGTGTGCGTGCGTGTGCGTGCGTGCATGCGTGCGTGCGTGCGTGTATGTGCGTGTGCGTGCGTGCATGCGTGCGTGNCATTTATTCATTTATTCATTTATTTATTTACGCTTCCACAGTTCCTCTATTTGTCGCATAATGCCATGGAGTACATTGCACCGGGAACATTCATAGATCTAGATGAAATCACAGCACTATACCTCAACTACAACCATCTGTACACGGTCTCAGCAGGAACTTTTGCCGGCCTCAAGAAGCTTAACAAGATACAACTTGATGACAACCGGATTTCGAGCGTTGCTGCTGGAGCCTTTGAGGGCGCAGCGGCAGCAAGAAAAGTTTGGATATCTAACAACAACCTCGTCAACATCGCAGCTGACACATTCAGAGGACTGAGTAGCGTGAGGGTACGTTCAGACACCCGTAGTCGAGTCAGTGATACGTGGTATTGTAAGAGCGTAAACACAGCCGAAAAGCATTATTAAATCTTTGTAGATGCTTATTATCAAGAGCGTATAAAGAAGGCCTTCTTTAAGAAAGAATGCCTTTTTTATAAAGAAGACCTTCTTTATACGCTCTTGTTATTATTCGAGTTACTGCCGTGGTTGTATGTCGAAGATAGTCTAGTAACGTCACCACATCGACTTAGTCATTAATCTTATATATTCCATATTGTTTGCCTGTGTATTATATTGCACCATTCTGTCGATCAAATCATTGTTAATTTTTTATTACATTTTCACATCAGAACATTTATATAAATGGTAATGCGTTAAGCTTCATCGAACCTGGCAGTTTCCATGGGTTGCCAATGATCCAGTATATCAATTTGTCGAACAACGAGCGCTTGACATCTATCGACAAGGACGTGTTTAATCTGACTGAACTCACATCCACATATAGAGTAACCGTTCCCCTAGGAGGCAAGTGTGGTCGTTCTTTGTTATTAACATTCTGTTTATTTATTAAATGTGGTTTGTTTTGTCACACTTCGTGTATTAATTGTACTTTCATACGCGTGCACGTATCGTTACGTGCGCAACAATCGTCCGCAGCGAAGGACTACGTGGGTGGAACTACCTGTAAAGCTGCATGCTATGTGCATTCTGCGAGCTTGAAAAGCTCACACTTACACTGTAATTTGCATTACAGGTTGCAAATTAGATTGCCAATGTGACATTGACTGGCTTGACGAGGCTCCATTTACTACTTGGAATGCCTATTGCGCAACTCCACCGGAACTGTCCACAATCGAACTGCCGTCTTTAAAATGCGTGAATCTGATGGTTCCTATATAGGTTACCGTAAGAGGTGACGAATGTATTTTATTATGTGTAAATGCACAGAACATAAATTTAAAAAATTGCGGCAAGCAATATACAAAGTGAAGGTATTATATGCAGTTGTAGATTTATGCTTCGGGACTTAATTTAAAAAGGAAAATAAATGAAAATATGCGTGCTGGTTATATATGCGTCGCGGTTAAGACGCCCTGCATAAGTAAGAGGATGGTGAGCATGTAAGTTAGAAAAACAATTAATTACCCCAACGACGTTTTATCATTGCTATATGACTATACAGCATCTTTTTAAACGTTGTTGAACCATAGATATAGAATGAATCTTAAATGGATGTTAAACTAATGATAGTGTAATGCTGAATGAAAAGTTCGATGAATAAATGATGAAGAAGGTATCCAAAACTTGTGTGGTAACCGGAATAAACTTTAATAACTTGCACAGTGTAGTCACAACTTTCACAAAGACAGCACAACGCGCACACGCGCGTGAGCGCGTGTGCTCACTCCCGCAATCACAACCAGAATCCCTTTCTTGACTCCTACATCTCTCTCCTATATATTCCCCCCAAACCTTCTATACATCCTGCGCGCAATTGTACCCGTTCTCCCAGACCGCGTCCTACCCCCATTTCACAATGACCCTAGAAACTGCCTAACCTAAAAACACGCTTATCCAATTCCCTGTA